GTATTATATACGTTCAGTTATAATGTGGACTCGAGTTTTAGATGTTGACATAGTTCCCCTGTATTCCGTTTTCATGTTTCGTTTCTTAATATAAAACTATATAATTAATATGATGAATTAAGAGAAACTTGCGTCCAGAAGAATCACATGAGCTGTTTACTTAATTCCTACCTGGATATTTAATTTATATATATTATAATATGGAGCAAGCTATTCATAAATCGAATAGACGATGCCTCTTCTTTTAATTTTTGGTAGAGAAGGTGTTCTTAATTAAATTGCATATTCCATGCCATTTTAGGTGTATATAATTAAGTATTTAATCAAAGGGTGTATTTGCAAACTAGAAAATGCTGTTGTGACAATTGTTGCAAAATAATAGATTTAGGATTTGGGCTCAACCTGTTAGAATTAGGTTTTGTTAGAGACTAGGGTTAGTTTATTATAAATAGAGTGCTTTGTTATTCATTAGAGCATAAGTTAGTTACGATGTAGCCTTTTAGGGTTTTGTAGCCGTTCCGGCATTCTCGTTTGTTTAATAATATTTTTATTATTTTGTAGTCTTATTTGTTCCGCACTCTGATATTCAACTAGAAAACGTTGTTGTGACAATGACATTGTCAATACTCAACAGGTGTACGTACTTACGTGCTTCAAATTGATTAACAACATGGATAATGACATCCTAATTAATTATTGATCACTTTCAGACTCACTCTCTTCCATTTCGTTTGTTTTGACAATATAAATTAGTACTTCTACAACTGGTTTTTTATTCTATATGGATAAATAAAATTTTTAGATAGGAATGAAAACGTTCGCATTAAATGCTAAGATATTGAATAATCAAACTGGATCGTTGAGCTAACATGTGTTAGTAAAATCAATCTTGCACTCTCTACTAACAAACGATGTAGCCATAAGCGTTGTGCACGTTCATGGTTCATGTCAATTGAGAATTATGTAGTGATGCATATTTCACAGCACTATTCTACTAAGGTAATTAATCTTTCTTTATTAAGATTAATTTTGATTAACATCCATTTCACAACTACATATATATATTGTTAATGTTTTAGTTAAAGACTTGACGGTGAATTCAAAATATACACGGTTTAATAATACCAGTAATATTATGGATTAACTTCAAGAACATAAACAATTAACACATCAAATTTTTTATCATCCAGCTATCCAAATCGGACAAGATTAACAAAAATAAAAAACATGGTGGTGGTGCAGTGTTCTGACACTGGACGGTAAAACATGTCCTAATTAGTGACTCTAATTAAGCGGGGTCAAACGACAAACCTTTTCACTAATAACTATCTCCTTTTTGCCCAAAAAAAAAAAAAAAAAAAAGAAATCACCATCTGTGATATGTTTCTGTTGCATGCACGAGTCTGATGAAGATTAGTACTCAGATCTGAACCATTTAAGAATTTGCTCGTAGTTTGTTTCCTGTGCGAGGCACACAGTGTTGCAACCGTCCCTGAGTCCCTGCTGATGTTTGTATTAATCTTAATCACCCTAATTAAACAAATCACAAAACGACAAGCTAATCCAAAACAATTAAGCAGAACAGCAGGTTAATATCCTCTACGTGGCGGCCCTGTGGTGACTGTACTACCTGTACTCTCCAAAAACAGAAGAAAAAGTTCACCAAAAATTAAAAAAATAAAAAAACAGAAGGAAAAAAGCATTACTGCCTACGTAGACCGAAAGTGGTTACAACATAAAATCCAAAGTTTAAAAATAATAAACGTAAAGAACAAGTCGACCAATTAAAGAGAATGTTAATTAAGTTAATTAACAATTAGTGATTAGAACGTACGTCATTAAACTAGCTTTGGCATTTGGGATGTGCCAGCTTACACTGTCACCCATCGTCCGACTCGATTGCCATGAAAAAAGCTTAATCAGTGGGATTAATTATATAAACGATAAAAGACATTCCCTAAACAAACATTACTGCCAAAAACGATGCTTATTAGCAACAAAAGTTGTAAGTTATGATCAGTTAAACAAACTTAATAAAAAGTTCCCACGTCCGCATTCCACCGTCAATCCCTGGCTACCACTTTCTTTTTTCTCTCTCTTTTGGATAAGACGTCAAAAGCAGTTACAAGCTTTACTTTTTGTTTGTTTACTTATGTACTATTTAAACATATTTTAGCACCCACACCTCCAAACGACCCATCAAACGGTGTACTTACACTAATCAGATGTGTAGTAGACTGTTGAGGTTGTGTTGCCACACTTAATGTGGCAAATGTACAATTCAATGAAAAAGTGTAAACTCAATGAACCATGATCATGGTATTTTTAAGCATTTATATTCAACAAAGTTTATAAAACCACAAATAATAATTAAGTATCAAACTCGTAATCTCATGAGTTGAACTTGAGATTTTTTAATTTATCTATAACAATAAAGAAATATCATTGTAAATTTACGACACCCATAATAATTAAGTATAAAACAGATCAATATACAGCATAATAATCAAATCCGGTGCTCTATTTAGAATTAAGAGCACCATTGGTGTTAGTTTATATTTCGTATCACCAACAAATTTTGGATGGGACTCGTGTCATGGTTGCTTGCGATTGCCAAACGTGTACATATTTTTACTTATTTATTTTTAAAATACTACAGCCCGTACGAGAAGGAAGGGACTCGAACTCTCTGTCCGTGTCCGCCGTCCGTGGGTCCGTCACGCCCGTGGCACAGTTCAGTACAACTAAGCTACTTTCCTAAACTGGTCACCCTTTCGAAGACCAGAAACCCCATTGGCCAATTTGGAGAATAGAGAGTCCCACGTTAGTGGGTCACACTATTATTGTAAGAATTTTAAAAATTTATGAATCTTACTTATTTATTGTACATCGTGTGATTATAAATTATTTTAAATATTTTTATTTAAATTAAATATAAAAATTATTTTACGAAAATCAACAATACTATGTACGATACAGAGAGAATCATGTTGGCACTGTGCCTATCCTAGTAGTTGATTACGGGGCCCATTGTCATGCGTTCCGAGACGAGTGGCGGTGACAGATCAATCCCTAACATTGACATGGGATAACGATTTTCATAGAGAACCGCGCAGTCGGATATGGGACTTCGCTGTGTCATCACTTCGTGGGACCCGAACCCCTTGATAGTCGAGATTTTATTTGGCAATCATCCAATTCAATTTCCCAGTAGCTAATTACCCCATAAATAGCCTAACAAAAATTCGGATAAAAATAATGGTTGAAATTCACACGCTGGTTTTCCACTTTTTCATTATACCTTATATTTTTATTTATTGATTATTCTTTAATTTATTTTTTTTTCATGGTTAATACTCTAAAAAAATTGACAACGAGTGTAAAATCATATATCCTTCTTTAATTCTACAAATGTTCTATGGCTAAAAATATTGTTTGAGTGCAAATAATTTTCCTTTTCGTAAATTCTACATACGTGAAGCGTTCGTTAATTAGCTGAACTCGTTAAGCAAGTACTTGCTATTTGCATTTAATTTCGAATCTTAATCTTGCAAACTTAAATAACTCAAAAATAAATAATACCGTGTCAAATAAATCTTGCATATATTCCTCAAATCTTTATAAAATTCTGTCCTACTAGAAACAAAGAGGGGGATATATAAAATCTTGAAGAAAACAAAGTCGGAATATTGTAAATGTGGAGCAAATATTAATTATGACAAAGAGGAGATCATAGCACTATGTTGCTAGGATTTGATTGAAGATGTGTTTTGTTTGAAAAAAAAAACATAGAACACTGAACCATGATCCTAAAATCCTAACAAGTGAGCGAGCGAGGGCGCCAAAAGCAAACACTAACCATGCAAATTAACGCGACGTTCAGGGGGGGATGCACCCTACCTCCGATAACATGCACGTGGACCCTTTGGTTTCTCTTATATTGGATCATATTATTCGACCTAGTTTTCTTAGTGCATGGTTTTATTGCTAATTAATCAAATTTTAAGTCTTCCAAATCGAGATGATGGAAAATAATTGATCTTGATGGTCAGTTAAGCGCCAGATATCGCGATTTCGGTGTTACGATTAGAAAAATAAACCTGGAAATTTGATTAAAAATATGGGCAAATATAAAGAGTGATTAGGAGGGGGACATTTTGGGGTCTTTGTTTTGGGAGGGCATCCTTGCACATGGGGCAAGGTCAGATTTGGTGGATACAAAATCGTTGCTCTTTTGGAATTAACTTGTACAAATAATTTTAATATTTTGGAGCACCTAAAAAAAGCATCTTACGTTGGTGGTAATAGCTTTAGGTTCAACTACTTATACTGACAATACATTTTCTTGGTTTTATCATTAGAAGTGTTAAGCAGAAAAAAAATTTGCATCCATGATTTAACATGAAACTAAATATAAGTAAAACATTACTTTCTTTCCCGACTGATAAATCTCAACATCAAACTTGTGTCGCAAATTTGAATAACACGAATAGAATCAAGTGCAAATCAACACCTAAAAAACGTACGCTTGATTAGCCACGAATATAGAACATACTCGAGCCAACATTATACATCATATGCAAAGATTTATATTGAAACAAAATAAAAACCCTCCTATCTAAAGATTACATGACATCAATCTTCATACCAAGTGTTAATTTTTAAAAATACTATATGTTTTAATCAAAATATCATATGACATCAACATTTATATCATATTTTAATTATTAAAAATTCAGTACGTTTTTATCGAAAGATCATATGACATTGATGCAATCTTGGTAACAAAATTAGAATTTAATCTAATTAGGCGTCAACTTTTCAACATTATTATGGTACAATTTCTTTATGATCCATCGCAACAACATCAAAAACTGAAAAACGACTTAAGGAAAAGGTGCGAACCGAAATCAACAGACAGTAGTAGCGTAATTATCTACAAAACCAAGGGTACTTTCAAAACCCCTTCCCTATAAAATTGCCCCTGAGCTCAAAAGCACAATCCCCCAAATTCTACACTCACCGGTCACCACCTTCTATTTTCCAGCGAACCAAACAGAACTAAAAAATCTCAAATTTTCCATCACTTTCCCGGAACATGTCAGCCGGACTCGGAAAATGCAGCAAGATCCGCCACATTGTGCGGCTCCGCCAGTTGCTGCGGCGGTGGCGCAGCAAGGCCTGCACGTCCGCCAAGCTCATACCCTCCGATGTTCCCGCGGGACACGTGGCCGTCTGCGTGGGCACCAGCTGCACCAGATTCGTGGTGCCGGCGTCGTACCTGAACCACCCCGTCTTCAAGAAGCTCTTAGTGCAAGCCGAGGAGGAGTACGGCTTCTCGAACAGCGGTCCGCTCGCGATCCCCTGTGACGAGTCGCAGTTCGAGGAGGTGCTTCGGTTCATTTCCCGGTCCGAGTCGGGTAACTCGACCCGGTTAGTCAACATAGACGACTTCCAGAGATGCTGCCACGTCGGCGTCCGGAGTAACCTCGATTTGTGGGCCGATTCTCGACCGTTGCTTCGTGGACTTTCCGAGAAGACAATTTGGTAAACTTACCGGAAACCGGCTGTTAGTCGGTTTTTTTTTTTTTATGGTTTCTGAAAAATAAAGACATACACGAAGACGCTCCAGTTCTCTCACTCGCCCGGGTGTGGCTCAGTCCGAGTCGTCTCGCTCCAAAGCCATCGATTGAACAGAGTAAAACGCTAAGCGACCGAGTTCAAGTGTAAAGTCGGCTCGGATGAGTTAACCCAGTTCGGGTTGGGTGCTCTTTTACATTTCCCTTTTGTTTGTTTTTTACCGTGGAAATTATGTGATTATTGGGGGCACTGGATAGCAAGCTACTGAGCCGAGTGGCCGAGTTACGAATGCATGAAGCTCCGAAGAATGAAATGGAGATGGCAAATGAGTGGGTGAGTCAATCCACCGAGTCGTCCCGGGTTCGACTAGGAGTGGAGGCAGAGTCTGTGATTAAATTTTTGGAGCTGAAGCGAGCTGCTGAGGAGAAAGATGATGGACAGAGTAAAATTACTGATAGTTTCCCAAAAACAAAAAAAAGAGTAAAATTACTGATTTGGGTCTTTATTTTTCTTGTAAATTCTGTGATTTATTGATTAATTAACGCGATCATAATACAGATTAGTACCTTCTTTGACAACTATTATCTTCAAGATTTTTTAAGTACTGATTAGAACATTTTGTTGTTTTAATTTTTAAATATAAAAATTCAATCATGGAAGCCAGAGTGTCCGTATGTTTAATCCGATTGAATTTTGTTTTTTAACCAACAAAATTATTGGGATTTGTAATTCTGCGATTTTTACAAATGCAAGCTCCTAGTGTATAAAAATACATCACATTTTCAGAAAATGCAAATGTGTAAAGTCATCTAACAGTGTGACCGTAAAATTTAAAAATTTTAATATTTCAAACACTGAATTACACATGATTAACGGTAAAAATATGGTTCGACAGATTATTCTACTTTTTCATAAATAAGTTGATGAACTTGCTGTGCAATCTAATGATGTTGGGAAGGATGATATTCTGCTTCTAAATTTTTCTAAATTTTACAAAATACAAAAATTGCGAATTCAAATGTATTGAACATAAGATATTGGTTATTGAATATACTCTCAGATACAAAAACAATTTCACTTTAACTAATCTAAACAGTAAGAAAGTGATTCAAATTCAAACGCATCGGAAGAAGTATAATCTTTCTGACAGCCGTAACCGTATCCTCGTCTATAATAACCGAATATAATTTAAACAAGAGTTATATATTTGCAGAGTGATCTGCCAAGAGTTTTTTTACTTATATTTTTATTATTTAAAAATGAATACAACTGTTGGCAAACCACTGTTATCAAACTTTGTCGGATTCAGAGAAATTATAGGAAATTTCACAGTCTAGCAAGAGTTGAAAACATCGATAATTATATAGCTAGTCACTCCGATCAACCAATTAATTAATCAAAGAGAATATGAATGATAAACCTTTGGCCCATTGAATTATATCTTTTCATTCTTTTTGCTGTCCGTTGTCGAAGCTTTTAGACTCGGAATTAGGTTCATGTTATCATCCACGATCAATCAAAGATACAAAGAAAAATTAATGAAAAAAACTTGAAAATTTTGAGTTTTAACGATAAGGACAAATAATGGGTAAAATAAATAGCACTATTGACTTTTTAATGTAAAAATATAATTTTTCGTTAAAATAAACAGTACCAAAAAATTTTCGTTAAAATTCCAAGATACAAACACTTAAGAAAAAGGCAAGTACGGATATTGCAGAGCGCTACCATTTGCCAACCGGTGCCGACTCTTGACCTCCTGTCCTTCTGCCACCTGTATGAACACTTTTGCCTCCACTTCCAAATTCCAGATGGCCAAGAACCCAACATTCATTCATTTGGAATTTTATTTTATTTTAATTTTTTAGGAAAACAAAAATTAAAAAGGAAACAGAAAAAGAAACTAGCCATATAAAAATATATGTATATCGTGAGTGCTTTGATGAATTTAATTTCCTTGACTTGTGGGGGATGTATATCATGTATTCAAACCCCTACTTAATCTTTTTCTTTATTATCCCAAACTAGGTCAACTAGTTTCCAATTCTGAAGAGTTTTCTACAGATTGGGTCAATGATGGTCGACGTCTCTGAGATTTTATTATTATTCAACAAAGGGTAGAGAAATTATCTAATAGATTTGAGACATGTCTAATATAGGTGAGATCTAATTGTATTGATAACTCAACTTCTATTAAAGAAGTGTTATAAACATGGTATGAAAATGTGGTAAAAGTAGGATTACCGTTCGTATTTATTCAAACAATATTCTATTTTCATTTGAATAAAAATAACAATCATTGAGTGCACAAGCTGATGGCGTTTGACCACAATGGTAGTAAATAATGATGCATATGCATCTTCGTGCGGACTTGATCCCATAAATCCCCTCTCCCAACAACTAATAGTTAACGCTATCGTTTGTCAAAAAACTACGCGTTGATAATTGAGAGACTTATATTTAATGAAGAATCGAAGATGCATATGAGTAATACATAAACTCTCCCGTTGTGCACGTTGAATAAACAAACGAATAGTACTAGGCCGTGCCATGCAACGCGTACAATATATGTTTCGAAAATGACATGCATTATACCATATGAACGACACGAATATAGTACTACAAAGAAAAAAAAGACTAAGGCACTTGAATTGTACACATGCATGTGGAGACTTGACCCTTCCATGGCAAAATGGACGTCTATATCAAACAATCAGAACATGTAAATTATGCAACGCATGATGCTTTCTTTGCTTTTAAAGCCAAGATCATCTATCTCAAACTTTTTGAGTACCAAATTCAAAACCCTATCTATGGAAAGGGATGGTTCATGAGGAATCACGCTTGAATTGATCAAAGCACTAGAGAGCCAGTGGTAGTTGCCAACATCACTTTCTCTTGAGAGCTCTAAAGACACAAATGTAAACAAAAAAATCATGTGACAAAAGAAAAATAGTGGACGTCAATTCATACTTAGTATTGGCAGGTTGGTAGATATATATGAATTAGGTCAGGTAATCAAGGCAACATATATATCGGCCTCTTTGAATCCGAGTTCGAATCTCCTTTCATGCGAGTAGGAGTAGTTCATATATGGGGATGGCTAAACAGAGTTGTTTTTTCTTTTTATTCATTCTGTTTTGGTGAATGAATGGAAATAAGGGCTCTCCAACTTATGGGGACCCTTAATCTTATGGGGAATGTAAAGGGTCTAATCTAATCAGATTTAGGGTGGCATCGATCGCTTTCATTTCTGTTCGAGAAAATATTTGGACGGTTTGATAAGGGTAGGGTATCTCTTGACCCCTTTGGAGCTACTCCACTAAAACGAAAATAGGTTCTTTTCTGATTTTGTACCAAGTGATCATTTTCTAGAAGGTATTTTCTTTTTTCGGTGCCTGAATATATGAACACCATTGTGATGTGCCACTTTGAATGAGGCAGAAACTATTTTTTTTTATTTTCAAATGATTATGTTTTCGTAAACGTTGAAAAAACACAAGAAAAATAATATATAAATTGTTCGTTGGAGAGCCCTTGCTATGTGTTTCTATGTTATTAAAAGTGTAACATTCGCGATTGAGTATATAGCTCTAGGAATGAATGGATTAGAATAAATTGAAAAAAATGTAGAGAATTGTACGGGTTTGACACTAATTGATAAATCACATGCAGGAAGCTTCTAACTCAAGTAGCTATGAACGTTTTATCTTTCACGCACGGTTCTGTGTTCAAATACTCTTTTCTAGAATATCATCCGAATAAGCAAAAACTAATAAAAGGATCCTTTTATGTAAAAACTTAATATGAGCCCAATATTTTGGGCTTCAATGGCTCGACCCATAATCAACTGGTAAACTGTTCGGGCCGTACACATCTTATTAAATGGGCCTGACCCTCAAAGAAAAACCCTTCTTTTATCTCTCTAAATTTCTGATACTCTCGCTCCTACTCGCAGCAACCCCAAACGCAACCGGGATGGGCTTGTTTGTTCAATATCGTAATTGTGGGCTTCAAACCGATCGTCCTTTCAACTTATATTTTGCCTTGTTTCTTTGCCATCCAGAAACAGAAACACAAAGCCTTCTTTCCTCCATATTTTTTTCAGAAATTAGGGTTTAGTTGTGGGGCTCATATCATATCGAACCGTCCTTCTATGTTTTTAAGTTGTACCTCATAAACCATCATTGCAAAATATTCAAATCAGAAATACTTGAGGCATGTAATTGAGTTTAAAGAAATTGACCAACACAATGTTTTAAACAAACATTGAAATTTCATCATGATAATTAAATAGGCAAATGGTTTCAGATTGAATTAAATTTTTGCAAATATAATTTATAAATTGAGACTTGTAAAATAAACGGTTCAGATCGTTGAAATTCGATGCGAAACGTGTAGTCCTCAACAAAAAGATGTTTTACCCTTTCCTCTTTTTACCGATTAGGAAGCTTGAAGACTGGAGACAAAACCAAGGAGGCATATCACAGGGAAAACATATATAAGTGGGGTTGATCATTAAATACAATGCCGGTTGGTGGAGGCCCAAACAATCTCTCTAAAAGTTGCTCCTTGTGTACTACTGGTACTAGCTAGGGCAATGTTTACACACACTCTTGATAATTCATACATCTAACTGTCCGGCATGTCTTTACTACAAAACACTGATTAGATCCGCCTAAATGTTCCGCTTTAATTAGTAGGAGGAAGAAGCAGATGTGCGTGTAGCCAAAATTAATATAGGATATTCTAAAGATTTTTCGACACTTACAAATCTCTTTCATGGCCTTGCTATTGTTTATACTATTTTTTTTTTAACTTTTAAAATCAATAAAAATAATTTCGAGACCTAATAAACGGTAGGTTTACATCCAAATGTCTTGCAACATTTTCGTTAACTCATATGCAAAATATTTTCTAAAACCAAAAGTTTCATTTTTTTTTTTTTTTACAACAATTATGAGTTATAACCCACGTTTTCCAATGATTTTTTTAGAATTTTTACAAGATTCAATATAACCCAAAATTTAAGTCATTCTAGTCGCACCACACGTTTAATAAAACTAATTTAGGACATTCCCAAGATTTTTGACACCTGCAAATCTCTTTAGGGGGCACCACTATTAGTTTATATTTTTTTTCTTCTATTTTTCAACTTTAAAAATCAATAAAAAATAGTTTCGAGACATAATAAACCTTAGAATCACATCCAAAGGTCTTGCAACATTTTCCTTAACTCCCATGAAAAAGATTTCCCTAAAGTCTTGCTTGTTGGTGCAAAACGAGGCAGACTCTGCGCATGAAGAATGAGACGAACCCAAGCGTACTAAAACGATGCAGGCTCCGCTCACAAAAAACTAGATGGGCTTTTGGAGCACAAAATGGCGCGGGCTCGATGCACGAAAAATGCGACACGTAAAACGAGGCTCTGCGCACACAAGACCTGGTGCACGAAAAACAAGACATGCTAGTGCACGCAAACTGAGACGAGACGACACACGCAAAAACGATCCAGGTCCCCATGCATAGGACAACTATTGTTGCCCGTACAAATCAATTGTGCAGGGATAAGGCATCT